TTCCTCCACCTGCGTCAGGAAGTTATCCTCTACGCATTGCAGGAACTTCTTGGACTTCGTGTGCCTGGCCATGTTGCTTTTCCAACAAATACCAGGGTGATTGAAGTTCCCCATGAGTACCAGGGCCTGCGATCTTGAGGCTACTCTCAGCTGCCCATAGAAGGCCTCATCCACCTCCTCATCCTAATCAGGTTGCCTATAGTAAAACACCCACAACAATGTCACCTATGTTGTTAGCCAACCCCTTAATTTTCACCCATAAGCTCTCCACTCCTTCATGATCCATCTCGAGGTGGAGCTGGATACATTCTAGTTGTTCTTTCACATAAAGGGCAATCCCACCACCCTGTCTTCCCAGCCTGTCTTTGCTAAAGAGGACATACCCATCCATGACAGTGTTCCAATCATACGAGCTGTCCCACCATGTCTCCGTAATCGCAATGAGATCATGGTGCTGTGACCTCATGCAGGTCTCTAGTTCCTGATCCTCTGGCTCCAGTCATGGGAGGCAGCTAAGGTAGACCTGTCACTCTGACAGTTGGCCTGTCCCATTCCCCAGTCTACTTGAGCATTGCTACTTTGGACCCTACTCCCCAAGCCATTCAGTTTAAAGCCCACCTTACCAGGTCAGCCAGCTTGCTGCCAAAAATTGCCCTGCCTCTTCTAGACAGGTGAGTCCTATCCCTCCCTAATAGATTATAATCTGTATACAAAGTCCCATTATCATAAAAACCAAAACCCTCATGTCGACACCAGCCACGTAGCCGGGAGTTTATGTGCATTATGCGTTTATTTTTGGTCTTCCACTTTCCTCCAACAGGCAGAATAGATGAGAAGATAACTTGGGCATCAATTTTTTTTAATTTTTTTTTTTTTTATACTTGTTTATTTAGGGCTTTATAATCTTCCTTGATTCTTCCCATGTTGTGCCTTGCAGCATCATTGGTGCCCACATGAAAGACCAGCAGCAGATAATGTTCTGGTTTTTTGACTAGTTATGGCACCCTCAAAGCAACACCCTGGATTTTGGCTCCAGGGAGGCAGCAGACCTCTCGAGACTCCCTGTCAGGCTGCCAGAGGGGACCCTCTGTGCCCTTTAACAGGGAGTCCCCCACTACAAGCACCTGGCGTTTCTTCATGAAAGTAGGTGATAATGAAGTAGGTGATGAAGTAATTGCAACCAGACACATAAAATCCAAGCTGAATTTTTATTGCAGCCTTTTGAAAGAAAACTGGGGTAAAGATGAATGATTTAACAAAAAAAAAAAAAAAGTGATGAGTTAAAACCAATTTTAAGTATAAACTTCTTAGAAAACCAAGCAAGTATAGAAATATCTCATTTTCTTTTGTCTTTCCAGTTCTACCAGAGTTAAAGCTGCTCTGTGGAGCTGATTTTCTACAGACATTTAAGACACCCAATCTCTGGAAGGAAGAACACATCAAAGAAATAGTGGAAAAGTTTGGTTTGGTCTGTATTAGCCGTGCTGGCTCTGATCCTGCTCAGTATATCAATGAATCAGACCTTTTAACTAAATTTCAGCACAATATCTTTCTGGTGAAAGAATGGATTCAGAATGACATCAGTGCAACACAGATACGCTATGCCTTGTGCAGAGGATTAAGTGTAAAATATCTCATACCAGATTCTGTCATATCCTACATTGCCCACCATAATATCTACACAGAAGAGAGTGAGCGGAAGAATGAAGGTGACTTGCTTCAGCCTCTTAAGTTGCATAACACAACAGTAAACCCACTAAATGACTGATGTCTGTAGTGCATGAAGTGGACAGACCTGGCATTTTTTCACATAAAGTTCTTGAGAAAGTTGTTTCTTGTTAATGAGGGGAAAGGACATCAGTCCAAAATTTTTTGAATTCATGTGGTGTTTTAAATTCATGGTTTTGTGTATAGTAGTGTTTAAGCAAATCAGCATGCTCAGCTGTATAGCTTAAAATATGTAAAGAACAGCTTCCTTTTGAAAATAAAATAAGATCTTAACAGTAAATATTTATCTCCAGTAATACTTAAGCGTCAAACACAGTACGTTCCTGAATTGTAATTTTGTAATCCTACGGACAGTTTTAACATGAAGATGCCTTACTGTTCCAAAGAAGCAAAGATTTTTTGTATTTTGGAAGTTTTGGCAGGACATGGAAATAAATCTTTCTTTCATGCGAGCACTTAAAAATGCATGCCCCATTCATGTCACTTTTAAGTCTCCAGATTCACAAATGACAGACAGTCCCCATCCCCAGATTTAAAGTAGGTTTCTTTGCTTCTCTAATCCAGAGTCTTCTATAGGAGTAAGTAATTGCAAAAGCCCTGAAGTAGATAACATATCCAAGTGGAAGTTCAGCTGTACCACTTGAAAATAAATGAAAATAGCTAAGACGCTGTCTCAGTACTTGAGCCCTAATGCTAGCCAGAAAAATCCATACTCTTATATGTTGGTTGCCTATTCTGCTGACTCAGTCCATCTCATTTTTGACAGAAGACACCTTCAAAGAATATAGAATCTCTATAAAGTGTTTCGATGTCGCTTAAACTAACTGAAAGCATGCATTCAGTACTGATGTGGCAATTTATCAATATACAGAATTAACCAGTGGTTCTTAATACAAGTTTCCACCTAAATGGCCCTTTTTGAGCCCTCAGTCAAGCAGCTTCTACTTTTATTTCTCTAGAATTAAGGAGCTTGTGGAACAAAAGTTATGCCAGAAACAAATTCCTTTCACAGAAAAGGTCTGTATGGTCATTTTCTGAAAAGAAGAAAGCTTAAAGTAGCTGGAGCATGTTCAAGGAGGAAGGATTCACCTCAAAAAGCACACAAGATAAGCACTTCTGTAGTTTCAGCTAATATCCTAAACTAAAGCTATTATTTAAAAGACCTTTTCTGAGTGGCATGAAACATGAAGAGTAATATGCTTAAAATGGATCTCCAGATAATCAGTGATCTTACAGAAGTTATATGAAAGGTGAAGGTCTCGTTCCGTTTAAATCAAGTCATCCTGCTGTCATTAGAAATCTAAGAGGTTCAGCCTTGTGAAAGGATTTAAAGGCAACACTTCAACAATAATCGGATTAGAAGGACTTGCATAGCTACATGGTCTAAAAAAGAGACAAAAGAAACCAGAGCTCAAACTTGCCACAAAGGAAGGAAGTGAGCTGTGTGGTGCAGATCAACACACTGTTCTGAGACTTTGATTTTGACTATTACCTAAAGTAGGGATGCCTGCAGATTTCAATGGTTACTGGAAAATGGTCAGCAATGACAATTTTGAGGAGTATCTGAAAGCATTGGGTAAGGTTCCCTTCATGTTTCTTTAATAAATAATCAATAAATGCAACCTGTCTTAGTCTTTACATTAATCTATTTTTCTTGCGCAGTCATAAATCATTTTTGTGAGAAATACTTTTTTCAGAAATGCACTTTAAGAATTGCCTTATGCAAAATTGTTTTGTTTTAAGCAGCCTCTACTTTTTACTTGAAGCTTACATTAACAGAGATTAAACTACATCGCTTGAAGAGGTAAGTGGCAGATTTCAAACTTAAAAAACAAGCATAATTTGAAAAAGAATAAAATTTTTATGTGTAATAAAAAGAAAATAATGCACTTAATGCAAGTGTGTTTGCATTTGATGTGAAGTGCTAGTATTTCTATAGAAATATTGAAGGCCTTATTAACTGCTGAATACAAATTGTATTTTTTTAGGATTCCACACAATCAGAAAATCAAAATGTTACTTTTTTAAGTTAAAAGAATTAAGCTATGGACTTCTTTCTGATGAGAAAGCTGGCCTGAAAGATCTAGACATTTATTTATCTTTGTTCATTTTAGTTCTCCCAAGAGTTACAAGCTTCTTTTTGTGGTAGACTTTTATGGATTAAAATCATTCTTTTTCTCTTTCAGATGTAAATGTTGCTGTAAGAAAAATAGCAAACTTGCTAAAACCTGACAAAGAAATCCTTCAGAATGGGGATCATATGATCATTAAAACGCTAAGCACTTTTAGAAACTACATCATGGAATTTGATGTAGGAAAGGAGTTTGAGGAGGATTTAGCTGGGGTGGATGATCGCAAGTGCATGGTAAGAATTAGAACTGTAACAACAGACAAAAAAAAAAAGAATATTAATAATCTGAGGGTTTTCACAGACCACATTGGTTAACCATTTTACGTGGCTATTCTTAAAATTATTTCTGTACTTCTCAGTTTGCTGAGATGTGCACAGAGTTTTTAGCGTACCTTTAGATTAAAGGAATGCTAATTTTAATCAGGAGCACAAAACAATTCTATCAGTGAATGAAAAATAATTTCAGTGAAACGTTACTCAGTTATACTGGGATATTTGTTAGTCAAAAACATTTGGGTTCAGACTTTCAGAATCTCTTCCCTGAGTAGTGTTTTACAGTAAAGGAAATCCACTGATTGCAGGGTCAGGCACTATTCCCTATGTGTAAGAATGGCCAAGTGCTTAGAAATTGCAGATTTTCTTTCTTCTTCCTGTGCTACTTGCTTCCTGGGGGTATTTATTAAAACAGATGCATTAATTAGCCTATGGGAACAAATCTTGTTGCAGTCAATAAGCAAACACTGAGGACTCTGCCTTATGAGCTCTTTTTGCTTGCCAGAGAGACAATATTGTCTAACTTAGAACTGATAAATAACAACTTACAGGGGAAAAAATTGAGAATACCAAGTTCCTTCCTCTTAGTTTGAAAGCATGACACCTGCAATATCCTACAGTGAAGAAGCTGATAAGCAAAAGAAAATTATCTCAGGAGGGACTGTAGAGGAGCAATCACATAAAAGAGAATTAATAGGTTTCCATTCTTAGAAAGATAGTGCCATTTAAAACCGATACTATTCTCTAACACTAGGGTATGCAACTTTGCTTTTGCTCGGGTGATGGCAGGAAAGGTAGAGATCGTGAAGATGAGAAAAAAAGAATGGCTAGCTAACAAATGCCTCAACTAATCCTTCTGTACTCCTTGTTACAGAGGGTAGAAGCATGATAGAACACAGAATACAAAATTCATAGAAGGGAGAAGCAATATGTATTTGTGTACAGGAAAGTACCTCAATGTCATAGTGCATTTTTGACTGCTAGAAGGCTCTTAATCAAAATAATGAGGTCTGGATCCACTGAACAATTATGAGCCCAAAGAAAGACTTGGACTTGGTTGGCTAAATTACCATCAAAGATAGCAATGCTTAAACTATCTGTTCAAGTGCTAAAAATGTCTGAAGTCCTCAGTGTCCTCCTCTGTATGTCTACAGAAGTGTCTCCACCTAAGCATTATCTGTACTTAAATACCGTTAAACTCTGTCTAAAGGAGGACTAAAACATCCTGTATGTGGCAGAAAGAAGTAATTGTGCTCTGAGGCTGTCTAGCATGTACCTGCAATGAGTTCTTACAAAATGTGTCAGACAACCACTATGCTGAAAAATCAGACTCAAAAGACATGGAAATGTGGCCCTTACCTAGTCCTGCTTTTGAAATGCTGAATAGATTTAACACACAACTCTTAATTTCCTGACAAATACTCTAAACATTTCATTATTTGTAACAGGCTAAAATTCTCTGCCCTATTTTGATAAATTGAGCAATGGGAAAGAATTCAAAATGTTGAACCAGAAAGAAGAAATTAGAGAAATAGAATTCTAGTCATTACAACAGCTATTTGATTTGCAATGGAACCTAGTTCACTCTGCTTCCGAGAGTTGCTTAAGCTTTTTATCTATTGGCTGTTTAGTGCAAAACGCTTACTCAGCCTTGGAAGCAGAAGCATCTTCCCACCCATTCCCAAGGGGTAGTAACTAACCTTGACTGTTTGTTTTGTAAAGAATGACTTGGGCACGTAACTCCACAAAAACTTTCAGAAATCCTCTATGTCTCTTTATGGCCTCCAACAGCAGATGCCAGCTGCAGCTGTACATTAAGGTCACTGATCACTGCTTCTCTATTTGCCTTGTAGCAATGTATTGTACTTTATTGTTCAATTTTCTTTATAGTTCAATTTTCTTATTAAAAATTTCTTTTCTACATGAGACCCCAGTTTTCTCAAAGACAAAACAATACAAGAAGCTGTATTTCTGAAGCCACTTCAGCCCAAATCTGATAACCATAATTTCAGGCAAAACTGGCAGTTGTTAAGCCACACAATAACGCTGATGGTCTAGAAAGTGTCTTGTGAGAGAAGGGTCATGGAGGTGATATAAGAGATACTGGACCACTCCCTGAGTGGTATTATGAAGCAAATCACCATGAAAGCAAAGGTTGAATATCATTCTTGCTGTTTCCTTTTTCCATCTCTAGCTTGTGAAACTGCATGCCATAAATGGTTTAATCATTAATAGTCAACCTGTGTAATGGGAGAGATTGTGAATCAATTTTTGGTTTTTATATTGTGGACTGAGCAGACCACTGGGCAAGTTTTATCCAAGTAGCTCAATGTATGAGAAGTACAAAGTAACATGGATAAGACAAATTAAACATTAATCTCGATAGCACAGCAATCATCAGGAGACTAGCAAAAATAACCTTAGAAGTAATTCATCTGATAGGTATAGATCATTTTTTCTTTTAATGAAGAATATATCATCTAACTGGAGTTAACATATCAATAAAAATCATATTAGTATGGTGAACGGGTTAGATCTTGTGTATAATTCACTGAAATTGTGTTCACCTTTTAGCTGTAAAATACATCTTTGAGTCAGTCAAGGTAGAGTGTAACTACAGTAATTCCAAACCAATACTGTTTGTGATGAGTAAAGGCTAAAAAGTTTTTCTGATACTTATTTTTAGAAGTTGAAGGTTTGACAGTAGGAATTGGTACTCCTGTGATAGTATAGGCCCCCTCCTTCATTTCAGTTAGGATTTTTTCATTTTATAGTTGGTCACTCCTGGAAGCCTGTCTGAACTTTCTGGAAAAGTGAGTTAATTGAGCTGGATAAACCTTAGCAGTTTCAGTTTGTCCCCTTTTTTACATTTACCTGTTGTTTTCTTGTATGCAACATGTTTTTAGGTGATTCTGTTTTCTTAAGGGATGTAGGTAACAGCAGTTGGTGACATCAGTTCCTTTAAGATTTTATTTTTGTTGGGAAGTGAAAATTTGCTACTTTGGCATCTCAAGAAACTCAAAAGTCCTGCTAGGTTAGTTAGAGATGCAGTTTCTCTGTTCTGTAAAACCAAAGATTAGGATAGTTGACCACACAGATGTGTGGATGCAGGAGAAATCACTAATCACAATGCAAGGTACTTCCAGGAAGACAATCGATATTCAGTGCATTCTAAGCATTACTGAAACTGTGTATGGAGCAAGCTGTAGCACAACCTGGTCTCTTAAGAAATGCAGACAAGACATCTGCATTCACTAATCTCCATAATACTATTGTGCTTCTCCTGGAGCTTTTCCCCAGAGATTTTATCTCCTAGTTAAAAGTTAAATAAGAGTTTCTCTATTTGTTTGGCAATTTCACGAAAGATTTGTTTCTGCAAGTTTAATCGTACTTACTATTTAGGGTTATTCAAAACTTGGCAGTTTGAATTACAAAGGTAAAATGAAACCTATTCAGGAGCAGCTTTTATTCTTTGCAAATGTTAAAATGTTCACTTAGATCGTGTAGAAAGTTTAGAACATTAATACATTATTTTTCAGATGATGTGAAGTTTGAATTGAACCATTAGATAAAGTTTTTACTACTTTGAAGAGTTTGTTCATGGTTTTAATTAGTAAGATATATCAGATGTATAGTGTACAAAGACAGAGCTTTAAACTTAAATTGATAGCTATGGCTTTGGTGTTGCCTGTACTGAGTATTTGATCCTGCTATTTTCATTCTCAGTGAGGCTTCTGGCTCATAATGAAATTTCCTCAATTTTAAAGATAAATTCTATAATCTCTAGTTGTGATTAATTTAGTGAGCATCTCGGGTATTGCATTAAGTATAAAACCTTGTTTCACGCACATAAACTTCACTGTGGAAAAAATTTACTGTGCACAAAAGAGCTAAGACCTTATTGAAACAACAATTACTTGAAAACCATCTCTGAAAGTATGTCTCATTCATCACCAGATCATTTTGCCTCCCTTTTTCACCATTGGTAATAACAGTGAAGCTGAGGAAACATCTGCAGTGTGAAATATGTACCTTTAAACATAAGAACAAAGCAGGATCTGTCACTAAACAGAAAAGTTAGCCTTATGTACCTTCACAAAGTATTTGCTTAGTACATCAGTCAAACGTTTATTAAAATGTTAAGTGAAAAAAATTAAAGGCTGAAGCAAAGGCTGAAGCTTCATGTTCCAAGTCTTTGCACCCAATGAATCAAAGCAGATTAAGAATGGGATAGCTCAGATGCAGAAATTACTTCCCTTAAATTTTTACTTTTCTGATAATTTTGCTGCTAAAGTCAGAGAAAGCATAATTTTTCTCTGCTGTTCAAACATTTGAATGAGACTGAATTGCTTTAGCTCACATGATCCAGAATGAATCTGTCATTTGACAGAGACTAAGAGCAAGTGATCTGTTTAAAAAATCAAGGAAGTTTTTATGTTCTAAATATACAACAGCAGAATTTCTTGGATAACTGAAAACAGCATTAGTTGCATTAGAATTGAGTATGTGGCTAAGGAAGTGAAGGGTATTTCAGTAATTCAGAGCCTTGTGCTCTCTGGCATAATAATTTCCTTCTTATATTGAAGCAGGAAAAGGAAATGACAATGACTTGGGACTGGTAAAGAGATAAAACAGCAAGAATTTGAAACTGATATTGGGAAATCATACATATTAACCATTTAGTTAACCAAAGCAGAGTACAAGCAGAATATAACCCTGAATAAGTTATCAAATGGGTGTTTAGGGCTCCATTATTGGAACTAATAGAACTTTTAGTCATAGTTAAGACTTGCTGGGGTGGGGTAGGGTGAGGGGGCTTTGGGACTTGTAGAATCACTCATCAGATCTATCATACATCTTACCATATGAAGTATCATCCTGAAAATATATAGTCATTTAACATTTAAGTCAGCCACATAAGCATTGTTCATAGGCACCTGACCAGTCCTTTTGTCATAAAC